ATTTTTATGGTATATATATATATATATATTACATTTTTAATTTTAATTTAAAGTTCAGTTTTTATATTCATTCAGGGTTAGGAGAAAGTATTTCAGTTAGTTGTCAAGTTAACATTTTTCTAATGTTTTTTTTAATCTAATATAAATAGTTTATTTAATCTAAACCTTATTAAAATTTTGTTTTAGTTTTAGTTAATGACAATCAGATGGGATTTCCTGTCATAAAGTAATATAAAGGACTAAACTTTATTTTTTATCCCAATAAACTACATATGCTAATTTAAATATGCTAAATATAGAATTTAATATGGAAAACAAATATTGCTTAAATGAAAATGTCTCACGTTTTACAAATAAATTTGAATTCATAGTACATTTTTTGCTACGTCCGTTGCTATTTTTCAAATGCATTTTCATAGAAAAGATCACTGTCTCACCTGCGTTAGATTGGAGCTCTGATCTCTGAGAAGGTTCTGCTGTTGTGGCGGTGCCTGCTGAGGATGCTGTGTGACAGTGTGTTGTGTCCCTGTATGTGTGGATTGTAGGCTTCCTGTCGGCACCACCGCCCCCTGCATGGACAGAGAGCCCGCTGACTGCACGGATGATCCCTGCGTCAGCTGCACTGAGCCGAGGTTGAGACCACCGCCTCCGGGCTGCAAGAACATCTGCATAGCCAAACAAAAGGGTGTCAATTTGAGGCAGAGAGTGGACCTTTAATCAAAAGCTAGGGGGCGCTCTTACCTGTAAGTTCTGTCCTTGCACCCTCTGCAGCTCATCCTGGATTTGCCGCAGTTCATCTTGTTGTCTCTGGATGTTGGCCTCAATCATGCGTGTGCGCTGTTCCAGCTGCTCCTTAAGATGTTGCATCGCATCCATCTGCGTGGAAAACTGCAGCACCGGCTACAAATGAACAGCACCAGGTATAATACTTTCAGTTGGCCTCAGGTGTTAAAGCTACCAGAAAAATTACAGGTCTTCAGATGCAAAATGATTCTGCAAAATGCTCTTCAAGGTCACATGACACCTTGCAGCAGCCTTTGATATAAATTAATTTTAAAACATTATGATAATAGCTAGGTAAGCTAAATGTAGACTGAAGAATATCTAATATTCAGATTCTTAAATCTATTTTAATAAACCTAAAATGTGATTTTAATACTTGTGCAATGAATATTCAATTCAATTCAAGTTTATTTGTATAGCGCTTTTCACGATACAAATCACAGCAGAAATGTACGGAAAAATCAATTAAAGACGTAATCAAACAGACGATGAACACTATTAACAGCAATTAATAATAAATATATGTGAATGTTTGCTAATACTGCAAAGCAGCGTGGAAACCGAAGCCTGTTAGAGAAAAGATATCTATTAAAATGTAAATATTAGTATCCTTTTTTTTAATCTATTGTGTTCTAATGTTCAAACAAATACCAATAAATATATTTTGGGGAAAAAATTGCATCCCAAAGTTATTTGTATAGCTTATTCAGTAGATGTTTGGGGTTGGTAAGATCTTTTATTGTTTAGAAACCAATGATGCATTTATTTGATTAAAAATACAGTAAAAACTGTATATTGAAACACACTGGTAAAAAATGTATAGCCTGAATGCACTGTAAGTCGCTTTGGATAAAAGCTTCTGCTAAATGCATAAATTATGATGATTGATTATTAAATGATTAAATATGATTGTGATTTCAAATAACTGTGTTCTATTTGAAAATATTTTAAAATGTAATTTATCCTGTGATGCCAAAGCAGTCATTACTCCAGTCTTCAGTGTCACATGATTTTAATATGCTGATTTAGTGCTAAAGAAACATTTCTTATTGTTATCAATGTTAAAAAAACAGCTGCGATGCTTAATATTCTTGTTTTAGGATTCTCTGATGAATAGAAAGTTCAAAAGAACAAAAACAGGCATTTTGAATAAAGGTATTAATTTCCTTTTTAAAAATGGTAGTGTACACTTATACTTTTGGTCACCTCCACCAACATAAGTGTGCAAACTACACAAACTATTACCTTTTATACTAATACATCTGTGATAACGTATCATTATTTATTGTGAAACAGACTGTGTCGCTGAAAAGAACTGTTTCTTTAATTAAAAAAAACAACTGTTTATTCAGTTCCTCTCTCTGGGTCAGTGGCAGATCAAAGAATGGGATACATCTCATTAATTATACTCATCAAGGGTTAATTAGATGTATACATACATCAAGCACCATGCTCGCTTTAGTGGCACCAGGCACTCAAAGACCCGAACTCTAATAAGAGTGATGGTATTGAATGCAGTAATAGGGATGTTGAATTACCTGCACACTGGGCTGAAGTGGTTGAGGCTGAGACACAAGAGATGTTGCCATCGTCTGTCCTGTGTTCTGAGAACTCATTGACTGAAGAGGGACGACACACAAGGTCAAGTCAATACTCAGTGTGGACAATTTCATGTTACGTTATAATTTGCTCTTCTTATCCTACATTGTTGTTTATTTCAATATTAAGATGGGTTTTGTGTTTGGACACTATTTCACCGAGTTCTATATTCATGACATATACCAACCTGACTGCTAATAGAGGACCTCCGCTGTGATGTCATCTCAATGGCTGACACTAATTGGCGGGGGGGTGTGCTATGGTCTGTCTGCAGCTTTGTCTGTGTGGCTACAGACACACAAACATATATGGGTCAGTCACAGCGCTGAAATGTGTGTAAACATCTTAACATGCTATGGCTGTGTTTTTTGGAGCACTCTTTGGTATGTATACGTACACGTTGGGTCCGAGACGGCGGTGTGTGAGGAGGACTTTCGGGAGCTCCGTGATGAAGCGGAGGGTGTGCGGCTGTGATCAAATCGCTCTAGCGCCTCCTTAAGGCTGGAGGTGTTCAACTGGGACTCAGAGCCGGAGTCCTGAGACTGAGCAGAGTGAAACAGAGTGGGATTAAAGGGTGTTTCTGGGTTCAGTGCAATCAAAAGCATTTATGGCACAGTATTGATCATCACAGAAAATAATAATGGGGGGAAAAACATTCTTTAAAAATGAAAAGGTTCATTGAAAGGTTTATTAATCTAACATAATTATATAAACTATAAATAAATGTATTCAATTTATAAAATTTATATATTAGTTTGAATGTAACAAATGCATTTTTTTTTATGAATGATGAATTTAAATTTTGAAAGAATTTGAATTTGTGTAAATACAGAGAAGGATATTTATTTGCACGTTAAAATGTAATAAATGATTAATAAAATAAGAACATTAAATATTTAAAATATTAAATATTTAAAATAATAACTTAGATAAAATTTAAATATACATTAGTTTAATACATTTTACATATTTGTCTATTATATTTGGAGGATGAATGGGAATTTAGAATTGAATAAATAAAAATATAAACAAAATGTATTAAATCTATATGAATAAATAATAAATATCGGAAGTAAATGATTATACATTAAACAAGTTATTTAAAATTACTATTAATAGTATCATATTTAATCAAATGTATACAGAAATGTCTGCGTAAATAAATGTATTTATTGATACTTTACAAACTTGCCTGTTATATTGGTGGCTAAATGGGGATTTCTGAATTTAGAAATGTCTCACCTTGTCTGCTGAGATCTCAGGAGGTGATTCCTCAATGCCCAGCTCTCTGCGCTGTTCAGCCCTCACTTCAGCATAACTGAGACAAAGAAAAAGCATTATTTAAAACAAAAAAAAACAAAAAACAACTAAGATTATCTCTATAAACAGAAGCACCACATCCTGCTTTAAATGGCAGCTGTTTCTTTCTTGTTAGTAGTTCAAACGTTACGTGTTCTGAAACTCTCACCTGACCACAGTGTGCGTGCAGACGATGAACTCCGGCCGTGAGTTCCACTGGTGGTAGGTGATATAGTAGTGAGTCTGAAGCCAGATCCACTGCTGACCTTTAGTCAGGAAACGGTAATAGCACGACTTCCCCTTACCATACTGCATCACTACAGAGAGAGAGAGAGATCTTATTATTACAAAGTCTAAACTCAAGACAGTGCCATTCATTCATAAATTTCAAAGCACTGTCCATTTTTAAAAGTGGGGAGACACGAGTACACACAAACAGTAGTTGAACTCACAGTGTTCATGGCACTTGGCCAGGGTCTCCAGGTCATCCACATGATAGTAGTCGTACCCTGAAGTGCCAAGAACCTCAAAGGGTAGGTAGCCTATGATGGGGGGTGCCCTGCAAAATACAACAATGCAACTTCACATCATCTGCATACATGCATTCAGTGGGGTCATTCTCAAAATATATCACAAATATGTGCACTGACTTTGAGTCAAGGAAAAGAATTCAAATGGTCGAGAAACTCTATATAAAATGCATTTTTCTATAATCTAACAGTTTGTTAAATAACATAATAACATTTCAACAATACAGAAAAAAATCCTACAAAATTATTTGATTTTGTCAAGTGTCTGAAAAAAACCCTTGTGCCCTTTATAACACTAATGACAATTATTGTTATTTATTTCATTTTTAATTTATTTTTTCTTCATTTGCTTCCCAGGTTAAGCATTAGTGCAAAGTCTAACAAGTGTGATAAAAGCAAAACAAAATACATTTGATTAATACCCTTCTTAATGAATAACCTAGATCCTTTGTCCATTGATATCTTGTCATTGGTGTTATCAAATGTTACAAACATGTTGAATTGTAAAAAGAAAAAGGAAAAAAGTATTTTCAAGGTCAACGCTCAGACCTGTTCAAATGTGCACATGGTGATTTTCCCACCACGTTGAAGTTAATAAAGTTATTAATTTACCTTTAAATGCATTTTCGTTGTGAAAGATTTTTATTTAAATTTTACAATTTAAGTTTTAAATGTTATAGTTTATTGATTTTTATTGAGTTATTGATTTTAGTCTGATTAAACTGACAACCAATTTAAAAAAAAGAATCACCATTGTCTTCAAGAAATAAAATAAAAAACAAAAGTTTTACTTTATGACTAGAAAGAATGTTTTTATAGTAGAAAACTAAACTGAACTGAATTCAAAACTTCTGCAACTGCTTCATTTTTAAATTCAGACCATCTATTATTTTAAACAATTTACAATTTTAAAATGACCCAGTGCCATTTTTTGAAAAAACTGAGTTCTTGGAACAGATTTTCAGGCATTCCTTGAGTCATATGAAAATGTTTTGGGATAAAAACAGCATAAAACGATCTGAAGTGCCACTTGCTTCTGCTAAACAACTGATAATGTGGAAAATCATTTGCTTTAATATCTAGCATCTGGGCCAATTAAACCGAATCCGTGATTTGAATTAAATATAGAGTAGCAGCAGCACCAGCAGCTATTCTTCTGAAACGACTCATCTAAATTTAGTAGAAACCTTTCCAAGCATAATGGCATTAAAGTTATGTTCATGTTATTCCAGATGTATAAGCCTTTGAGCCTGTGGGATGAACGTGAGCTATTGATTACTCGGAGACATGCTGTGCAAGCATGAACAACAAACATGTCTTCAAAAACTGAGAACAGTTTCGAAGGGAGCGTATTATGACCGTCACAGGCTCACACAGCCTGAAGTGCAGGACTTCCTTGAAAACCAAGTACTGTAAAGAAATGGCATTAAGACAGTGGTTCTCAGCCTTTTTGACTTCAAGGCTCCCTACGGTCCACAACTATGTTCTAGGGCACATGTGTCAAACTCCAATCCTAGAGGACCACTGTCCTGCAGAGTCTATCTCCAACTAGCCCCAAAACACCTGCCTGGACGTTTCTAGTAAACCTGAAGTTTGAAGCTAAATTCTACAGTACAGTGGCCCTCCTGGAACCGAATTTAACACCCCTGTTCTAGGGTCCCAAGACTTTTAAATTTTCTGCGATTAATTGATTAGGATTAGTTTTTTTGCCCCCTAGCTGGGAACCACTGCGCTTCAGGTTCAAATAGTCAAATAGTTAATTGTAGTGTCAATGCTAATCTGTCACCAACTCACCTGTGAATCAACCCTTGTGCTAAAAAATGGGGGTTTTAAACCTTGATGGTTACACACGACTTAAAAACAAAACCACAATAAAAAAAATAAAAATAAAACATGCACCTTCGAGGTACCCACAAGATCAGTCACATCTTTTGCATACTTTCGGGGTAAAATGCACTGCCAAATGGACTGACAGGCATTTATGGTAAACTAAAATATATTTTAATGTTATTTCTATTGAAACTTTCATGTCATGTATTAATTAATATTAATTATATTTGTAATTATACAACTATAATGAAAATGCTGCAATTTAGTACTTAAAATATATTCACTTGTAATATCAAGTAACATTATAGTTAAAATTATAATCAAGTACTTTACTTGTGCTTTAGTACGTTAGTCAACACATCAAAATAAGTGTGCATGACAAAAGATTATTAAATCATGATGATTTATAATATACTTTAAAGTAAAGCTTTTAATTTGACAACATTACAAAGTACACTTTTTTAAAGTGTATTCAAGTGTTCAGAAACAGACATGAAAGTGTACTGTATGTACACTTTAGTAGACATTTATTTCATTAATATTCTGCAAGTACACTTAAAAAAAACTTATTTTAAGCACACTTTTTTTTTTTTACAAGCAATGATTTGTTCTTTTTTCTTTCTTTTATTTCCTTCATTAGATCTATTTTCCCAACTTTATTCCTCATTATTTTCTACTTCTGCTGCTTGTTTCATTCTTCTGTTCCTTCTTTTTTCTTTCTTTCCTGCTTTCCATGTTTTTTTGTCTTTCTTTCCTTCTGTCTTAGTAGTTCCTCACTGTAGTAACACACTGACAGTGATGTATCAGTAGATATACAGTCATGAAATCAGAGATCCTCTCTTTGAAATCCAATCGCAACATTCTATCCAGAGTAAAATCTCGTCTGACCTCTAGTGATCAGATCACCCGAGACAGGTAATATCCGGGCCTAAGTGAAACAAACTAGCAGAGGAACTCTTTAGTTTTCTGGGAGAGGGAAGATGATGTGTGTGCTTGACAAAGAGCTCACAAAAACAGTCGTGAGAACAGATGAAGTTTGTACCTGTGGTCCAAGAAGAGGAATTTCCACTCTAAACTGTGTCTGGAGGTGAATTCCTCATTGGGCTCCTCCACAGTACACATTTCCTGTGGAACAGAGGTTATAAACAAGAGCGTTCTTTCTTATAAGCACATCTAGCAGACAAAAAACGAGAACAGAAACCAAGTGACCTACTTCTCACACGGAGTGCTTTGCATGCTGGTCATTTATCAGTGTCTTCAAAAACAAAGGCAATTCTTGCACAAACATGTACAGTGTCTATCAACACGCCCACACACATACATTCAAACTGATGAATATGTACATAACAGATCTGAGTGAAGTTGTCACTGTCTGTAAGGCAAATATTAGAAGTCACAGGACCAATGAGAAGGTGCCAAGTCGGCTTTGGCTCAACCTACCTTGATAAACTGAGGCTTGGCTAACCTCACAGTTGCTATGAAACACACTCGGTCTTCAAACATGGGCCTCAGCGATCGCTGGATCACTCCCTCAAAGCCGTTACGTGTTGAGTTAGGCACTACAGAGGAAAATACAAGCAAATCTTCATGAATGGAAGTGTTTTGAGAGAAAATAAGCAATAAGCTTATTTTCTTTAGCCTACCACTAGGGGGCAGCACCTGCGAGGAAACGTCCAATACTAAATATTAATTCAGGTATAAGAAACTCTTTTGTATCGAAAACAGTACATTTCTGCAGTGTTGATTTTAAGACATAGCTTGTCTTTTGACAAAAATGTTGAATGCTGGAAAAAAATTTGACATTTAGTCTATCTTGTTCAATATCATGTTCATTCTTTCATTCATTTTTAGTCCATTTTACACTCAATGATATTA